ATGTCGTACACTGACAACATAAACTCTGGTGCTTCTCTTCTTGGGAAGAGGGAGAACCTAGATGGTCCAATGTCACCTTTATCTGGCCTTAATAAAAGAACTAGACTTAATGCTGTTGGACCAGACGGGATTCAACAAGTTGGGCCACATATGGATGGCCTGCATGGACAGGATATGAGCTGGAAGAATATGTTACTTCCCCAGCAAACAATTGCGAGAGGAATTCAGTATGCAGGCATGCAGAAGCACCCTCAGCAGGTTTTTGAAGGGGTTCTGAATCAGGAGGCCGGTGCAATGCCATTTGCTGCAGGACATCAAATATTGAGATATGGTGCTAAGGAAGAGCCATTTGATCCTACTGACAAGTTGGATGGCTCTGAGCTGAACCGGGAAACTGATGCAAACCATTTGGACCCACAGCAGACACGGCTTCAACCAAGATCATTGCATGGATTTGCAAGACCTGGTTTCCCTCAAACAACTTGGAACAGTATTAATCAGCATGTCGAGAAAGATTCGAGAAAGGAAGAATTCCAAAAAAGGAAATCAGTGCAAAGTCCCGTTTATCTAGTGGAGCTTTGCCTCAATCTCCACTATCATCAAAATCTGGGGAATTTTTAAGTGGTCCTGTAGGACCTCACTTTGGAGCTGTTGCAGTAACCTCGTCCCTTGGAGCATCTCTAAAGGAGAAAGCTGTTAACTCAGTTCCTGCTGTTGGTGGTACCCCATCTTTGACTTCAAGTGCAAATGAGACTATGCAACGGCAACACCAGGCTCAAGGTGCTGCTAAGAGAAAATCAAATTCCCTCCCCAAAACCCCTGTAATAAATGCAGTTGGATCTCCTGCAAGTGTTAGCAATATGAGTGTTCCATTAAATGCAAGCAGCCCTTCCATTGGAACCCCACCTTTGGGTGATCAAACAATGCTTGAAAGGTTCTCAAAGATTGAAATTGTAACTATGAGGTATGATGCAATTGAATTATTTCTGCATTGGAGTTTTGTGATTGATTTCTAGCCATTGATTAAATACAATTGTGTTTCTATTCTGTATATAGTGTTAGCATCATCTTTGTCAAGCTTAACAGGACGCTAGTGCCTCCTCTTCTTTACATGGAGCATACTCTACTTGCTGCTTTTTTTTTCACTTTGTCCTGTTGATGACCAGAACATGAACGCAGGCACCTGCTTGGTTATGTTATTCCTTGTTTTCAAGAAGTAAAATTAATGTCTTGTCATTTCCTGTTAAAAGTTGTGTAGATGGCGATATTCATTTTATGGTTTTGATTGCAGGTATCAACTCAACAGAAAAAAGAACAAGGGTGAGGAGTACCATGTCCAGAAACCCAGCTTACATTCTCCTCAACTAATATCAGCCTGTCTAACCAGTCTTTCCAGTAACGAGGATTTCAAAGACGAATTGAATCCACTATCAAAGTCTCTTATTGGTGGCAGTATGAATACCTGCAAGAAAAGAATCTTGAATTTTGTACAGGGTGAGTGTGTTTTTCAAGGTTTTCTTTGTTGTTATGTCTCAGATTCTGTTCCATAAATAAATATTTATGGTTCATTTCCCTAACTTTGCTCTTCTTTAACAGGGAATCTCGTTTCTCTAGTTCCTAGGGTAAGAACTAGAATGATAATGTCTGAGAAACCAACTGATGGGACTGTAGCAATGTTTTCTGGAGACATAGATGATGGTGAAATTCTTAGTGCAGAGGATCATATTTCTCACCTTCCTACCCTTCCTAATACTGTAAGTTTATTTACTTGCTGAAATAAGAATATGCCTTTTAGACAAACTGAAAACTGCCTGACCTCGGGTGGCAAAAGCAAATCTCTGCCATTAATTTTTCTTAAGACTTTTTGGAGTCTTTTCCTAGTTTCTCTCTCTTACAACACTTATCTCCTATATTTTGATTGTGCTGCTTTTGGGTGCTTACTGTTGTCTTGAAAACATATTTTCTTTGGTGCTCATTCAACTTAGTCTTAGTTTTCATCTGGACGTCTTGGAGGATGTCCTGAAGGTCTACGTCAACTAATCTAATTTCCCTGTGAATTTAGATATCCCTCACCATGTTCTTTTCAACTCATGTTCCCTTTTGGTGCCTACATTGAGTTATGTTAAATTCAGCCGCAGACTTTAACCATATTGAGAAGACTAGAAGGAGCGTCAATTATTCCATTGTTTCATTAAGAAAGTTTCTCTTAGGCTGGTATTTTATGTCATCCCATTTTGGGTTTACCATTAAGCTAAAGGGACAAATTGCTGACAGTATAATGAAAATTTGCCACACTGCAATTTGAAGTTTGTAAAATCAAACCTTTAATCTTCCTGCTTTTCTTATATTCTCATGTTGTTCTGATATGTTCATCTTAAATCCTGCAACAGTACTTGGCGGACTTGCTTGCGGCACAGTTTTGTTCACTGGTATGTCAGCTAATAGTCTCTGATATTCAGAGTTTGAGATTTTAGGTTACAATAATGATTTTGCCTTCTTTTTTTCCCTCTTCTTTTTAATTTGTGGACACAGATGCTACGCGAAGGGCATCACCTTGTGGAAGATAATGTTCAGGCGAAACCAACTCATGTGGTTATGGCCTCAAGCAGCCAACCAAATCCTGCTGGAGCTTTTCCCAACAATTCTGGAGCCGATGTGCAGCATACTATGCAGCAGTTTGTGGAAGCTGTTCCAGGTCAGGCAATCAATGAGGTGGCAAAGCAGAATAGCGATAATAATATTTCTATAAATCCGTCTCCGAGTGCTCTGGTAAACAGTAGGATGTTGCCTCCTGGAAACCCTCAGGCCTTACAGATGTCCCAAGGACTACTGTCTGGGGCTTCAATGCCTGCAAGGCCATCACAACTAGATCCACAACAACCGCAACAGCAGCAGCAGCAACAAAGTCAACAGCACACTTTGCTTCAACAACAGCATCAGCAGTTCCAAAGATCACCAATGATGCTTACATCAAATCCTCTTTCGCATTTGAATGCCATTGGGCAGAATTCAAGCATGCAGTTGGGTAATCAAATGGTCAACAAATCTTCAGCTCTCCAACTTCAGATGATACAGCAGCAACAATTGCAACAACAGCAGCAACAGCAGCCACAGCAGCAGGTACAAATGCAGAGGAAAATGATGGGACTAGGTGCTGTAGGTATGGGAAATATGGTCAGGATTGGAGGCCTGGGCAATACCGCTGGAATTGGAGGTGCAAGTGGGATTGGTGGAACAGGAATATCAGCTCCGATGAATGCTATTTCAGGCATGGGAAATGTGGGCCAAAACCCTATGAATCTTCCGGGTGCAAATATAACCAATGCGATAACCCAGCAGCTTCGATCTGGTGCACTAACATCACCTCAAGCTGCCTTAATTTCAAAATTAAGGATGGGCCGAGGAAACATGTTAGGTGGTCCTCAATCGAGCATCGGTGGGATGTCCGGAGCCAGACAGATGCATCCAGGTTCTGCTAGTCTTTCTATGCTGGGCCAGAATCTGAACCAGGCTAACATGAGTTCGATGCAAAGGACTGCTATGGGGTCCATGGGTCCTCCAAAAATGATGTCTGGGATGAACTACCTTTACATGAACCAGCAGCAGCAGCAGCAACAACAATTGCAATTGCAGCAACAGCAACAACAGTTGCAATTGCAGCAGCAGTTGCAACAACGGCAACAACAACAGCTGCAGCAGCAGCAATTACAGCAACAGCAGCAGCAGCAGCAATTACAACAACAGCAACAGCAAGAAATGACCTCACCAATACAGGCTGTTGTATCACCTTCACAGGTAGGCTCACCATCAACCATTGGAATTTCACAAATGAACCAACCACCTCAGCAACAGCAGGTCCAGCAACAGGCCAACCCTCAACAAATGAATCAAAGGACTCCCATGAGTCCCCAACTGAGCTCAGGTTCTATTCATGCACTAAGTGTTTGTAACCCAGAGGCCTGTCCACCCAGCCCCCAGTTGAGCTCTCAGACCCTTGGCACAGTTAGTAGCATCGCAAATTCTCCTATGGAGCTAGGTGGGAACAAAAGCAACTCTGGTGGAAATACGTAGCATGTTCTGTGCAGTATCATCTTATACTAATTCTTGAGCCGCCTCAGTGACAAGCTATCCCACTCGTGGAAGAACCTTTAAAGCTAATTTTGCAGACAGATCAGCATCAATCAGTGAAAGCGGTTTGATTTGTTGAAAAGGAAACCGTTGATGTTAAGTTCTAAAGCCAATACTGGTGCCAAGCTATAACAAACTATTTACAATGATGGGTCGCTTTCCCTTTCTCATCCTAGAATTTTCGTTATATGTATAACAAGTTTTTAGCACTAGACTAGTTGGTGTGCCTATTTGCTATCTAAAGTTATGGGCTTGAAATTGAATCCACTCTTCCCAAAATGATACATTTCATAGGTTATTATGAGTTGCACTTGCACGTTTCATTAATTTTCTCAGTTCTTACAATTGCAGTCTGAACAAACTTTGCTAATCTTGATTTTCACTAAGTATTACGATTTCTTCTTTGTCAAGGGGAATGGGTTATCTAAGGTTTGAAACTGGAATTAAATGTCAATAGAGGAGCAAGTCTCTTTTTTCACTACAATGTCCTAATAATTGACATCACATATAACTTTTTGTGATTACTGTATGAACTGAAGTGGCCAAACCTTAGTTTCCTTTTGCATTTTAGTTCACTATAGTACCTTTGAACATGTGATTACTGTATGAACTAATTATAATTGGTTCATTTTGGCCTTAATAATTGACCAACCGCGCCTGAAGGGAGCTACAGAGGCTGAGGAAGCTATTGCAGCAATTAAGGTGGTCAATCCAGCACGCAAATTAGCAATTAAGGAAATATAAATGTGGGTTTTTCTTCTCAAATATAGGCAACACAAACAGGCATGAGTTACTGCTGTAGTTTAAGCCACTGAGCCCAAACTAGTAGTGACTCTGTACGTTAATTGTCTAACAAAAACTTGGGCAAAGTGAAACACTAGAATAAGTTAATCTATTTGGATGCTGTATTCTGGCTCTCACATATAGAAAGAATAGTTTTGTTTTGAACATATGCTCTACAGCAATGGTCTCTCTTTCACAATGCCACATTACAAATTTGTACCTACGTCTTCGCAGAAAATTGTGTGATGAAGAACCAGAATTCACTCCAATGTTTGGTCTCTGGGTGTGGCAAGAAGCTGGTCAAAGAAACAGGGAAGCCCAAGGAATTCTTATGAGTTCTTAACACAATGGAGCATACTTGAATCACCATAACTTTGTTTTCCCCCAGAAGAGGAGGAAGACAACTCCCAACACAATGGCAACAGGAGCCCACTTACGGATCAATGCCTACAGGAAAAAGGGAACACATAACAAAGTATCAAACTTCAGTAATGCTGACAATAATAATTTCTACAAAACATATCCAGCCACAACAAGCACATTGAAAACTGACTTATGCTCTTGCTCAAGGGGCCTTCATTTGGAAAAAATGAAAAAAAAGGCACGCAGATTGAATAGAAATTAAACACCAAAGTCAAAATATATTATTTTATCCATGTACTTGACTTTATGATACTTTATGATGTATCGCATTTATGTGCTAAACCCATTCCCCATTATGATACTTTTAGAGGAGGACACATTCAAACTTCACAACGGATTTTAACTAAGAAATGCTTATGTAACTACATCATGTTTGTATTCATGCCCACCAATAAAGGCCAGAACTCAAACTAATAGATGCATTAAATTTCCCAATACAGAATTATTTTCTCCATTTTTATCCACAGATACCAGCCAGCTCAAGGAGTCGCTGTGACACTAATCTATCAATCAACTATGTTTTCCACCAAGAACATAACTTTGCGGTACAGCTTAAGTACGTTGAACAAAATGTATTAGGCAAAACCTAATGTCTAACAGAGAAACAGTTAGAAAATGAGGGGGAGAGATGCTCCCATATAAAGAAAACTAACCTGCCTATTTAAATCTCTTGCCTTGTCAGCATATATACGGGATTCTGATGTCAAACGACTGGACATTTGGCTGACCTCTGTGTCATCCGCATAAAAGAAAAAGTTAAATACATACTAAAATACAGTCTATCAGCCAGTGAAAAAAAAAGATGGAGGTAGCACTGCATATTAAACCATCAATAAAGAAGAAAAACTATTAGGTGACTTCAAATTGATGGCAATACATACAAGTAAGCTAAGGCGGCTACAAGGTGTGTAACCATAATTAACTCTATCATCCAGTTATCAGTCCATGTTCAAACGTGTATTAACAATTAAGGGGAATTTATAAAATTTAAAGCATGCAAGCAGAAGCAGATATAGAAACAACAGGCTGGTCCCACTTACAAGGTCTCTCTCCCCCCGCCCCCATCTTTTAACCAGTGATGCAATACAAAAAGATGCATTAAAATTGTAAGATCACAGTTACCTATGTCATGATTGTAAAATTTAGCATTCATCATGGTGCATTGATTCAAACAAAAAATTTAATTAATTATCGAATCAAATATAATATAATATAACAGCCTAGCATAATTCTGAACTTACGGTCCAACTTTTCACCAACACCAAGGACTTCTTGTACATTACGAGTCATTATTTGGTGAACTTCATAGAGTTCATCATTCAACTTTGCAATATTACGTTGAGTACGTGTGTCCAGGTACAATTTCTTCGTCTTCTGTATGAAGGTATCTTAAAGACAAAAAAATAAGATAAAATCAAGCCTAGCAAGAGGGAGCATCACAAAAGTAGAAGGGATAAAAAAATAAAAGTCAAACAATACAGAAAAGGGGCTTACCAAATTTAATGAAGGCATAAGGTCTGGCAGCTGTTTCAATTTGAGCTCCATTGACACGCTCAAATTCATTCTTTAGGTCCTCCAGATATTGAAAGGCGAGTTTCTTAGGATAAGCACGATCACACATTGTCAAGTAACAAACACGTCCTTCAATGATATAGCTAGGAACTTAGGTCAAAGGTAACAGTAAAAGTTTGATGCATTTGCAAATAATACCAAAAACCATGCAAAAACAAGCCTATTGAATAACTCAAAATATATCCAAAAAATTGACATCATCAAAGGGATACTGGAATACATAGGGGCCGGTTTCAATAGACATCCTTGAAGCCTCATTATGGCCTTTAGACAGATTCTTAAATAAAGCCTTAACTTGCTGTTTGTACATTTCAGCATCTGCTAGATCACGACCATCATCTAGTCCCTCAGCCAGAGGAAGACCGTCAGTAACACGAGCAATCATTGTCATCTTTACCATCTTTACTCCCCTATTTCTCAGCTACAAAAAATCTGTTCAAACTAATACAGAAGCAAAATTAACACCCTCATTAGACATTTAAAAATAAGTTTTAATACAAACCTAAAACCCAATATAATAATCAAATTTCTTTTTGAAAAACCATATACAGATGCAGCAAATCCAATTGCCTATATTTTGATAATTTGGTTCGCAAATCTTAATGGTACAACTTACCATCAGAATGATGACAATACAACAATCTTCAGATATCATTTCAACACATGAAAATTAATCAAATAAAAGACATAACTTGATTTTTGTAATACTTAATTCAATAATCCCAAAATTCACCGAACTGCCGTAATCGATCAAAAGCAAAATCAAGCCAATTTTCCTTTTCTGATAAAAAAGGACATTAACGTGACCAAAGACAACCCATCTAATCAATATCGTCACGATCTAACCAACAAATGTCATTTTTTTTCTAGAATTCCAAAAAAATCCACAATTTAAGTTGAAGATAAAAAAATCTCATTTTCTTAAGAATTTCCACACCAATGCAAACAAAACAAAGGGTTTCGTTAAAAAATTATAAGCATATTCAGGAATTGATGAGCAAAAAGTATTGGAATAGTAGGAGTACCTGATTATATAGAATATGGATCTATGGATTTCTTCTCGATTTCAACGATCTGAGGCAGAGGGAACGGCCTGGTCCGACAAGTCTTTAAGAGGTGAAAATGGAAAGGAGAGAGAAAGAGAGGGGTAAAATATATTAGCAATTATGAAAATAGCCACTCAACTACCCCTAAATGATCTTTCTGGACAATAAACTTTTAGAAATTATAAAATGAACATTAAGTTTTAGACTTTTATAAAATGAACATTATATTTTAAATTTTGTTATAAATTTTCAAATTTAAAAGAAACTAACGGCACAGTCTTTATTTTATAACAAATATGTTTATAAATGAACCACGTTCATTGAACCATTCATGAATCGTTTGATGGGAAATTCGTTTATGTTCATTTCTTTATTAAACGGACAATATGAATAAGATTTTATGTTCGTTTAATTGAACGAATGAACACAAACAAAGGGATTGTTCGTTCATTTATGTTCGTGAATGCTCAATAATTCGTTCGTTTATATTCATTCATTTATGTTCGTTCATTTATATTTTGTACAATCTTCATATCCGTTTAAAATATCAAGACCTAATAAATTTTAACCTTAAACCCATTAATATTTTAAAACTCAAATAAAAAATATACAAATCAATTAAAGAAAATATAAACCCTAAAATTATTTGAAAAGAAAAATTCTTTCAAATATAAACCCAATTAATTTTATGTTCGTTTGTGTTCGTTTACGTTTGAGTTCATTTTTGTTTTTTATCATTTTAACGAACGAACATGAACGAACACGAACAAGCTATATTCTTTAACAAACGAACACGAACAAGAAATTTTGTTCGTTCGTTCATTTGTTTAAAGTTAAACGAACGAATATGAGCATACTCTTGTTCGTGTTCGTTTACGGGATTAAATTAACAAAATCCAAAATTTAATACTAATTTTAAATTTTATAAAAATTCAGGATCGAAAAAGATTATTATAGAATAGTTTAGTTCCCACTTTTGATGTTACCCAAAATGTTGAATATGTTAGCAGAGGTTTGATCCAATGGTATCGAGGTTCAAAAAGGTTTCACTTTCATCTTTGAGCGGTAAACAATTGGATAGTGGATATTACAGGTTCCATTGTGAATTCAGAAATTACAGAATTCCAATTTTGTTTTTCTAATGACATCATAAAATTAAACTTAAGAAGATGACAGACAAATTAAGGATGCGAAGCTGTTTAAAATCACACATCGCATGTAATTACTAAAATGAATTTGTTAGCTTATCCCGACATTCATTGCATTTGTATAAATTAGTTGTGACTGCAGCTTCATTGTATGTAACTTAATTGATTGTTAAACAACAATGGTCAATTTTGGGAGCAGGGCTTCAAGAAATATGATAATACAATGCTACAAAGATAAAAAGTGGGCACATTGTCAATTAACTCTTGATTAATATCAAAGAGTTCAATGTTTGATATACAAAAGGAATGCCTCTGGCTCTGGACTACTAAAATCACAATGACTCTAATGCCAGAGGCGACACCAGTATACAACATATCTCAACACGACAATACAAAACTTACCAGATTATGAAGAAGGCCTCATGGCTCCATCAAAATTTACAAAGTCCCATTGTAGGTGTCATACCGTATCGCTGTCTACCTCAAGCATCTGTATCTTTTATATATTCCGTTATACCCTACTGTTTATGATGATTCCAAGCAATTGTTCTGGACTTTCCTTGATATGGGATTTATCTTGGCTTGTTCTCGCTACCCTTGCTTCGGAATGATGATAGTGAAAAGAATGAACGTGGTGCTGCAAAATTATGTTCCAGTTTAAGTATGCCATTACAAGTACAGACCATGAATTCAACATGAGTAAAAAAAACAAATCAAAAGCTTATTTCGGATATGCAGAACAGATTGTTCAATATGTTAGCAGAGGTTTAATCCGATGGTATTGACTTTCAAAAAAGTTTTGAAATAACTATATAAATAGTGTTAGCTTATGAGATTTTCGGGGAATGGATTCACAGCGACAACAAGAGGGTTGGCAATTGTTCGACATAAATTACTTCCAAGAAAGAAATATCTGACAACTAGATTAACATTGATAAGGTGTCACCTTTTATGGAGCTTCCTGACATGTGCTCTTCCCTTAATCTGAAGTTCGCAGGTGCTGCTGGAATGGAAGTACGTAAGGATTGAACTGCAAGGTACCATTAATGATTCTACTTTATCGGGTTCATATATGCAACAAAGAAACATGGAAATTGCAACAAGGAAAGAAACAAACACCATCAAGCTATACTATAAAAGCAGAAAATCCGGAGCAATTTTGAGTCAAACTCAATTTTGATAAATGTAACTTCTACAATTATATTTCGTAATAAGCTAAAACAATTGTGCGTTAATCAATTCAAACTTTTCTACAGTTGAAGAGGGCATAAAACCATAAACTATAGCTTTACAAGAAAGGGAAGATATTCTATAGAAGTAGAAACTCTGAAGTGATCTTTTATTAGAATAATAATTATTGAACCATGTATGCAATCAATGAATATTCAAAATACTTGACAGATAAGAATAATTATGAATACATTATGTAGAACAAGGTAACTACCGTATAAGGGAAAATGGGAATTACCCTGATCATTGAACAATTCACCTTCATTGAAGCCATCATCAGAAGGGTCCCTGAGGAAATCCCATTCTTGATTTCCTCAAGTCTTCAGATGATCGACTGGCAGGATCTCTACCATCCTCTGTGTCATCATCTCCTTCAGAAGTTGTAGCAGATATCCAGTCCACCAAACTGTCTGTCCCACGGCTTTTTCGTCCAAATTTCAACAACCTTTTGAACCCTTTTGTCACATCCTTACGTGGCTGATTATGGGTTGCATTAGCAACAAGAAATGGTTTCTGGGCACTTCCCCATTTCTTCCTCATTCGAGCAGAATCCGCTCCTGTTTGAGCAAGTGAGTGAGAATTCCCAGATGCAGGGCTCCCAATCGGGGAATCCATGGAGGCATCAATATCTGAAGTTTCATGGGATAAGAATACAGATTGCGAGAATTCCAGGACACAGGACTTTCTCCTGGTGACTCCTGCAAGGATACTGCACTATGGAATGTAGGGAGCGCTGCAGCGGGCAGTTCAGCAACCGATTTAGGGTCCACCTGAGAAAGAGACCTCATGGAATCACCATTCTCGGATCCAGAGTTATCCAGTTTGTCAGATTCCTGGCTCAGTCTTGATCTTCCATTTTCCATGTCAGCAGAATTAACAGCCATAGTTTCAAGCTCATCCTCCTCATCTTCTTTGGCAATATCCATTGAATCATCTGCTTCAAATGCTAGCTCATCGGACTCTTCATCATTTGGAATCTCAGATGCCTCTGATGCTTTGAAGTTTTCAAAATGAACTCCAGCACCAGACCAATACCATTACCTTTCCAGAGGTAAGGCTTTGCTTCCACATTCTTCAAAGAGTTGTCATTGAAGCTCTGCCCAGTCTGCTCTTTATCAAATTTCTTAGGTTCCAAAGCAACGTCAACAGAATTCAAGGCAGGCACATCTGAAAATTCCACATGACCAGAAGAGATTTTCCGATTGGACTGAGACCGTCGAGATTGATCATCCTTGCCAAGAGATATCTCTTCATTGTTACTCTTGCTCCGATCATATTTTCTCACTTGTAATGGCTGTTCATCTTGCCAGCTCCAGAAGCGGGCTTTGTATTTTCTTTTCTGAGATCAGAAAAGTTGGGAACTGATTGTGCAAGAGGATTTTCAGATTGAGTTCTTCGCCTTCCGGAACTGGGATTTGAAGCTTTGGCTGCTGACCGTGGAACTGTAACTGCTGTGGTGCGAGGAGTGGATAAAGACACATTTCGATTTGGCAAAACCTTCTTAGAGTTGGAGCTCCTAGAAGAACCATCGAATAAAGATGCCTCATTATATGATCTATCCTGTCCATAGTACTGATGATCAGGAAACTCAGAAAGATCTTCATCTTTGCTCTGGATTGAACTTATTGGATGCTGCCAAATGCATAACCTTATCAAAATTAGTAACAGATATTCAATCAGAAGTTTTCTGATTTCAAAACGTAAAAAGGAAGGTCCATCTACAAGTTCTGAATTTTAGCATTTATTTCTCCAAACATAACTGCAACAGGAGATACCTGCTCTCTCTGCAATCGTAGATTGAATGACCTCCCTTTCTCTGCTTGTCGACGAGCACTAGAAATAGAAGACTGTCTATCAGAACCAGAAAACTTGGCCTTCATCTCAGTTCTGTTTTGCTCAAGGATATCCTGCATGGCCTTCAATTTGGCTTCCTTCTCACCCCTTTTAGAACTCCATTCTTCCCTCAGCTTTGCATCTCTCTTTTGCATATACCTTTCATAAAATTTTCCTCTAGAATCAACTGAAAAGCTGACACTAGAGAAATTTAGCCTCAAATTATCAGCATAGTCCTGGTTATCTTTTGTAGGAGTATAAAATTTAGCAATATTGCTCGTACTCTCCATCGGTTCAGATATTGAGTTTTTGTCAGTCAACTGTGAAGGAGATGCATCTAAGGCCACAGGTTTCTTGTACTGTGAGCTTCCCTCCTGTTCAATTTGCTCGTCAGCAGGCTTGCTTCTCCTTGCAGAACTGAATTGATCACCAGGAGCCCGAAGTTTGTGCTCTGCAAAAAGCTTTTCAAGTTCATTTGCCTTCATTTTTAACTCATCATTCAGCTCTGGTTTCCCCTTGTCTGCCTTATCCTCGTAGTTTGATCTACTGGAACCACTGGGGCACTTAAACTCTCTTCACTCTCAGGAACCTTTCCATCAGGAACAGACTTATTATTTGCACTACCATGCGATTTCTTGCTCGGTTCAGAACCTACTGGAACCTGTTTCTTGAACTTCATTTTATGTATTCCAGAATCCTCAGTTTTTCTCATTTGCCTCTCTGATGATGCCAAGTCTTCCATTCCCACTTCCTCAACTTCCCCGGTAAAAGATTTCCACTGTGGTTGAGTGAATTGATAACCTTCACTGCCTTATACGGACCCTCCTTCGTTTTTAGCCCAATAACACCTTCAAACCCCCCAAAAATGTTTGGGATTGGCCTGGAACCCTAAGACGCGCTTG